GGCCGGAGGAGAGGGGCAGAGTGCCCCAGAGGGCCTCCTCCCCCCTCCCCCCTCAGCCCACCTAGAGGTTCAGAGCCTGTGGGGTGTGCTGTTGGAGAAACAGGTCTAGGGAGGAGGTACCTCCTCTGAGCTTGGATGCCTTCCTATGCCAAACGCAGACAATAAACCCTTACTTCATAGGGCTGTTGGGAGGAGAAGACATGGTGGATGCCAGCTTCCTCCTTTTCTCCCTCTTTAGGCAATTCCCCCAGGGTTTTGTAGCGTGCAGGAAGCCTATGGGCAGAATGACAAAGGCCGGCAGCTCCAGTAAACTCAGAGCCTTAAGGAGCAGGAAATACCCTCCAAGAAGCTGAAAGCCCTTGGTTTCACTGAGCAGGTTGGGATTTGTCACAGCAGACACCAGGATAGAGGACGATCCTTAAGGCAGGACAGGGGGTAGGGTACCTGGCAGTCGGCCTTCTGAAGGTGCTTTGTGTTTTGTTTTGTTTTGAAATCTGGCTGCAGAGTCACACCTTGTTTTTGAAATGGATAGGGGAAGTGTGAAATTAACTAGGGAGCCTGCCTGTTTTCCCCACCCCAGCTCCAAATGCCCGGGGATGTGTGAGGTTGGATGGTCCCGCTAGTTTGCTTCACTTCCTACATGCTCTGAGAGACAGACCTGGGCTTCGAAAAAGGGTGTCTCCGAGTCCCCATTTGTCCCGTGAGAGCTCCTTTTTCTCCACGGAGCTAATTCCACCAGGGAGTATGAATATCGGAAGCACAGTGCGTTACATTTCAGAGTAATAGCAGTGTGTCCTCTAACGTGGTTAGTTAAGGCCCCTTTGCAGTTATTGAAGCGAAATGTCAATGGTCTAATTAAAACATGGATGGTCTTTTTTAATTAAGTAGGCTCGGGGAAGAAAACGCTCACTCGGGCAATCTGCGGAGGAATGCTCTTAATTTTGCTACTTACTAAAGGACCCTCAGCCCTATCTGGCAGAATAACATTAATAAAACATAATAAATGTAACAAGTGATTGCCTCTCCTCTCCCCTCCCCTTTCTTTTCTTTCAGCTCTTATTGGGAAGCCAGGAATCTGCTGCTACTATTTAAGGACACTTACACATATTCTAATTAACCTTTATTAAGAAAAATAAACCAACAGTTTACAGATGAAAGTATTAAGGCTCTATGATAGCGGCTCTCAACCTGTGGGTCGCGACCCCTTTGGCGGTCGAACAACCCTTTCACAGGGGTCGCCTAAGACCATCCTGCATATCAGATATTTACATGACGATTCATAACAGTAGCAACATGACAGTTATGAAGTAGCAACGAAAATAATTTTATGGTTGGGTCACAACATGAGGAACTGTATTTAAAGGGCCAGAAGGTTGAGAACCATTGCTCTATGAGGTTTAAAGACTCAGTTAAGATTTCCCTGGCAGAAAGTGGTCAAGCCAAGATCCCCGTAAGACCACCTTTAAAAAATACGATTTTTTCTATGTCAGTTGGTTGTGGTAGAGGCAGGTGACCTGAATGCGACTCAAAAAGAAGGGACTCTCGGTTGACCCGAGGCGCTGGGGTTGCCACTGTCAGTCGGCTTTCAATCCTCATTCTAAACATCCCAGTTTTCCACATAATATCACCTCTGCTCTCAGACTCCCTAACTCTCTCTCTCTTTTTTCTCTATAGCTTCTTTCAAAAACTGCTTATTCCTTAAACTTCTACTTTCCGAAATTTTGTTTTCTAAATGAGACAACATCTGCCAAATCCTCGGTACACTGTCGGCACTTAATAAGCGTCGGCTTTGATCTTGTCGCTGGTATCAGAACGACTTCCCGTGCTCTCACTCCCCTCTGCTGACCTCAGGCAACCGGCATTGCTGGTCCCCCAAACCTGTTTTGGGAACAAGGAAACTGCCTGGGATCCTTGCTTGCCAATGTACCCTCTCTTTCTCTAGTAAGAGATAAACCAGAACCAGATGTGCACGGGCCTGCTTGTCTCCCCGCAGCTCTCTGAGCTCATTCTGTGGACATGGGGTTCAGGACAGCAGAGCCGGGGCCACGGCTCCAGCTGCTGAGCAGGGCAGGCCTGGAGGCTGAGGCTGCTCCAGACAGCACTCCAGGTGTGTAACAGAGATTAACTCACAAAATCCTCACAATAACCCTAGGAAGTAGAAGCTATTATCACCACCAGTCCTGTTGTACTAATAGGAAACTGAGGCACGGAGTGGTTAAGTAACTCACCGGAGACCCCACCCCTAAGACCTCATAACTGGTAGCCCAGGATTCAGATCTCGGCAGGCTGCCTCGGGCCAGGCTTTAACCCCTGGCTGGAACACCTGAGAACCATCAGGGGCATCGGCACGATGGTCCCTGTAGTGCTCTAGATGCCTGGACTCAAGCTATAGCAGCAACACAGTTAAAAATCGGGAAGAGTGATTGGTGCCATTCAATCACATGGTCAGTGTGTACAGAACACCCGAGATTGGCCCGTGCGCTAGCACTGAAGGGGCTAAAAGGATGCAGTAGGTTTAGACTTCCCGTCCTCATTCCTAAATTAGAGGGTGAGACAGGTTAGCACCCACATACTTCTCTGCCACGATTCATGGAAGGGCTGATTCTGACAGTCTGAAGGGAGTGCTGTGTGTACAATTGCAAAGGCAGCCCCTGTCTTGGCCATACCCATAGTTACCCCAATAAGCTTATTTAGTGTTAAGGGCTTTGTATGATTTATTCCATTGGGATCTTATAAAAATCCTTTAAAGAAAGTACTATTTTTGTCCCCATTTTATATAAGAAAAGAATGGAGGCTTAGAGAAGTAGAAAAAGTTGTTCACGGTCATGATTAAAAAATGGAGGAGACACGCTAGACCCAGGTGGTCGGACTGGAGGGCCGGGCTCCAGCGAGCGCTTCCACATCATGAGGGAGGAGCAGGGGAGGGCAGGCTTTGAAAGGGCCCTTGTTCCTGTCCTAAGGCTGTTTTACAACTTTGGACCTGCAGCTCCAGAACAGAAGGCATCTGTCTCCCCGACCACCTTCTAGTGCTTTCCCTGGCCTACGGCCAGGCAACCATCTTGACTAAACAGCAGGTAAGTTGACATTTACGCATATTTTCCTATAACTGAAAATGTTAGAAAAAAAAAATCTCATTCTTTCACAAATAATTTTATGTGTTGTTAATAAGTAAGAACACTTTCCTTGTTTGAGTACTTACAGCACTTCCTCTGTGCTAGGTGCCAGAAATGAGAGCCTTGTATACAGGATCTCATGTCATCCTCCATATAATTTGGTATGGTAGGCCTCGTCTTCACCTTACAAGAGAGGAAATGAAACTCAGAAGCTAAGGACCTCGCCCAAGGTCAATGGAAACAGCCTCTCCTTAAAGGCCACAGCCTCACCCAACACCTTGCAGTTGACACGCCCAGAATCCTCTGCAGTGATGCAGCCACGTCCTGTCCTCACTGCCTCCAACCCTGAGCTCATCACGAAGACACTCAGTGCAGCCAGGTGTCAGTAGCTGTCTTTGGCCCTTAGTGTCTACTCCCCAACCTTTGCATACTCCACAGTCCCTCTGCCTCAGCCACAGGACCCCACTGACCATGCCAGCCTCCGGCCTGTCCAGACCCTGGAACTTCCTGCTGGGAAAGAGATAGAGATGGTGTTTGAACACAGTTAGGACTAAGGTAAAAACACACGCTCTTTCACGCCATCACAGAATCTTGGCACCCAACTAACACACAACCAAAAAACAGATAATGCTTTTGGGGCAAAGGGAGTGTGTGTGTGTGTGTGTGTGTGAGAGAGAGAGAGAGAGAGAGAGAGAGAGAGAGAGAGAGAAGAAAACTCCTAATTGCAATGTGCTGTCTCCCTGTGTCCTTGAGCTAGTCAAGAGAAATAAAAGTAGCCATTCCCTACTTGGTTACTGGCATAGAACTCCTGTGTTGTTGAGCTGTGAGAGTTTTAGCAAGGCCAGTGCCTGCGTTCCTTTCAAGGTCACTGTCATTACTCTCCCGACTAACCCGGGAAACTGAAAGTTTTTGGCTCTCCTGACTTGAGTCTGAGGTTCATTGGAAAGCCAAAACATAATATTTTGGTTTTAGACCTCTTACAAATCCATTGTGAAGCATCATGCAATGAGCAAATAGATGATTTTCACAGGCTAAGTATTCTACCAGGACAAAATACGGACCAAAAAAAAAAAATGAAATGAAATAAAGTGGCTTACTTCATAGGACACACGAGAGACAGAAAATAAATATGCTGAACTGTAGAAGCCTTTTTGAACAGAAAGAGAAAACCCTGTGGACTTCTCAAGCCATTCCTGAGGAGAATTCCCCGACCTGAAATCATGTTTATCTCCATCCCCTTAACTCAGCAACGTGGGGAGGAAGAGCATCCTTCTTGTCCCAAACATCTGTATGGCTTCCTTTCCCCTCAAACACGCTGACAGCCTGAGCTCAAGATCCCAACTCGTCCTCCCATTCCACAGCCAAGCACTGTGTGCATTTTCTTTGTTGAGTGAATGTAGATGGAAACCAAGTCAGCGTGGCTTTCCCTTAAAATAATCCACTGACAGGTAACCACATCCCTGTGGGACCCCTGTGGTTCCTGATCAGAATATAAGCCTCCTTCTCTTTGGAAAATGTGACTAAATACCCTGGCCTCTGTGGCTCAGATGGTTGGAGCATCATCCAGTGCACCCAAGGGTCACCTGAACCAGTTCAATTCCTGGTCAAGGCACATGCCCGGGATGTGGACTCCATCCCAAGGTGGGGGCGAGGGGGGCATGCAGGAGGTAGCTGACCTCATATTGATGTTTCTCTCTATATATAAAAATATGTTTCTTTGGGGGAGGGGGACAGTCATCAATCACATCTGCACAAAATGGGCTGTTCTGTGGACCACAGGAGGGTGGTAGAGAAGAGAATGCGTTGTGTAGGGCAGAGGAACATGAGAGCATGGACCAGGGTGAAAAACAGAGGAAGTGGCAGCTAATTCTCCCTTGAGAACAACAGGGCAGGATGTGGGGATGATTCTTGTCTCGAGAGAACATGAGCATTTCCTCTTGGTTCAAAAAATCTCATGTCAACATTTAGCCCCAAATAGCCTGGTTTTCCCCCACAGGCTCAGGAGGGGAAGCAGCTCTGAGTGCTTCACCCCTAATTCTTCAGCAACTGGCTAGCAAGATTCAAAAAAAATCTCATGTGTTACATTTACACCTACTCCCCCTTTTAAGTTGGATTCTTTATTACCACTGGTATTTGGGGTGGCGCTTTAATACCCGTGTCAAAAAAGTTGAAAGCAATTTGCACTGAGGCGGTCCTCCTAGGAGTTCCCTGTTTTTATCAGCCTGAAAAGCAGAGACGTGCAAAGTTACTTCTCTAGTCCCCTCCAAGGCCAGTAATTAAGATGTGGAAACTCCTGGTAGTAAAATGAATACTACAAATGTTTTTAGTCAGATATCTGCATAAAAAGGCTGCTTATTTTCAGAAATGCTGGCCTCTACATTAGATCATTTTAAATTTAGATTTCCATATTTGTAAGCTAATTAGCACCTAGAAAGCAGATACAAGGCAAAGACCAAACCAGGGAAAATATTTCTCACAAATCTGAGAGTCGAAAGGTTATGGCTATGAAGATCTCACAGGGATAAGAAAAACAGGAGCCCACTACTGGGAAAATGAACAAGGGCATGAATAGACAGCTCACAAAAGAAGTGCAAGTGGTAGTAAATGTAAAAAAAAAATGTCCCATCTTGCTAGTAATCAAAGACATGTAAATGGAAACTACAAGGAGAAGTCATTTTTCACCTCCCAAATTGGCAACGTTGGCAAGAGGGTGAGGAAATGGTCCCTCACACACACTGTTGTGGGTCAACTGGTGAGATTTCTTAAATATTCTAAAGTCTCTAGACTGCACATTAGATTTTAAAATAGCTTTGACACACGGCCTTTATTCTACAGAATTAGTTACAGTCAAAATTTATGAACAAAAATATTTGTCATAGTATTATGATAGTAAAAAATTAGAAACAACCTCAAGACTTAACAACAAAGGAATGATGACATAAATTATGTCCCCTCCATGTGATGGAATACTATTAGTCAATGAAAATCATATTTATGGAGAACATATAACATAGGAAATATAATCTAAGAATTTATAATCAAGATTGCAAACTTAATATTTTGATCCAATTACATATTTTTCCATAGAAAAAATGATGAAGTATTTAAGAATGGTTATTTCCAATGGACACAGACACCAGGGGGTGAAAGCATGATGGGGGAGGGGAGGGAAGAGGTGATAAGGATACATATGTAATACCTTAATCAATAAAGAAAATTTTAAAAAAATATTGGTTATTTCTGGTAATAGGAATTGAAGGTCACTTTATTCTTGAGGGGTAGTCTGTGTCATGGTTAGAAGCATAGGGTTCCTGTTCAAACCTGGATCCCTCTGCTTTCATTAATTATGTGACAGTAAGAAGGTAATGTACTGGCATTTGGGGTGGCATTTTAATACCTGTGTCAAAAAAGTTGACAGCAATTTGCACTAAGACGGTCCTCCAAGGCGTTTCTCTGTGCCTCAGTTTCTCTATTTATAATGTGGGGATAAAAACAGTACCTACCTGACAGGATTCTTGTGAAGATTCATACATGTAAAGAAATTTCTCGATAACTGTCTTCAGACATAGTAAGCATTCAGTCATTAGTAGCTGCTCTTATTCTTTATGGTTGTCAGTATTTTCTAAATTTCAAAAAGATAATAATTTAAAATTTTAGAAGCAGTGACTAGGCAAAGCTGACCTGAGTAGGTCCATGAATAGAGGAAAAAGACTCAAAAATCACAGTTGCCCTCAAGGTGAATCAAAGCATCTGGGTACTTACATTTATTTAAAAATAAAGAAAAGACAAAGATAGGAAATAAGGGAAGATGGAAGGAAGGAAGGAAGGAAGGGAGGGTGGGAGGGAAGGAGGAAGGAAGGGAGGGAGGGAAGGAGAGGAGGGAAGGGAGGAAGGTGATTGGGGGGAATACTCTTGTAAAGAGAATAGAACATTGATAAATAGGACATGAGGATTACTAAGTCCTTGATAGAGCTCTGCATTTAGCTTGCATGGGGGAGAAAGAAATGGGAAGGAGGTTCAGGGTAGGGCAACAAGACAGATGAAAGAGAGAAAGTTGTTCCTGAAGAAAGTGCCAGTCTTCTCAGTCACAGGTGGGTGGGGCACAGAGCACTGGGTGACTCTACCCAGCCCTCTGTAGACTGAGCAGTCGCCTCCTTCGTCAGCATAGGAAGCCCGCCTGTGGATGAGGCTCCTGGCGCAGGGAGTCATCAAGGTCACATTCCCACAATTCCACAAGGACAAGAACACCTGGGGAGAGAGGAAAGCTTATTTTCAGGAGGATTCCTGGGCCCCTCTCCCAGAATTCTGATTTGGTGAGTCTAGGCTGGAGCTGGATAATCTCTTTTTCTAATAAGCAGAGAGTGGGGAGCCGCTGGCTTGGACAGATGAAGACCTGCAGGGTCCAAAAGCTACTGAGCCTGGCCCCTGGAAACCAAGAGCATGTCCCGTATGGGCCCCTTTGTCCTGACTGTTAAATAGGCATAAGCCACAGGACTCAGGGAGCAGGACGATCTCAATCACTCCTGACTTTTCCATGCCACTCAGACCTCTCCTGACAACATCCCTGCCTGTCATGTAAGAATACCCCCGGTCCGACCCATCATGGCCCTTCAACTTTATGTGCCCATTCTCTGCTCCATTCCAGGAAGGCTCTGTACTGTCCCTTGAACACATTTTTTTTCTTGCCTTTTACCTGGGCTATGTCCCTCCCCCAAATGTCCCTTCCTCTCCCTTAACCCTTCAGGTTCTACTGGTCCCTAAGTCCAGCCAATTGTCTTCTCCAGAAACCCTCTGTGCCTCCTCACTCCTGTGACCACTTACATGGACAGTCCAATGCAGACAGTTTATTTCACTGTCCTAAATTGTTCAGTAATTTTTTTCACTTGTTAAACTCAGGAACAAGGACCTTAATAAAAACTACTATGGGAGCAGTGCCTTATAGTTTGTAGAAGATTTTCATATCTGTTACATCTTGGGAACTTCATAACCCGCTCAAGATATGGATAATGGTGTCATCTCCACTGGAATTGGAAACTAAAGGTCAGAGAGGCATCTCGAGCGTTCTTATGGTAAAACTACGCATAAGCGGCAGAATTACGAGACTGCACCACTGGTAAAAGGAATAGGGGATCCCCCCATGTGAAAACTGGAAATGTGGGGGGGTTAATGAATGGCCCTCTTTGTTCTCCAGGCCAGGGGGAGGGTCGAGACACCAGGCTTTAAAGAACAGCTGCACCTCGGGGCTGAGCCTGTGTCATCCCTGGCTCAAATGGTGGGCTCATTATTGCAGCTGTTGCTGGCTTTAGGGAGCCAGACAGCTGTTACCAGGAGATGGATTCAAAGAGAAGAGAGGAAACGGAATCCTGCGAAAATAGCCGTGCCTGTACGTGTGTGCACAATGTCCTCCCTTCTTGTAGCTCAAAACGTTCTGAAGATGTAACCTAATTATTCCTTATAGGAAGGCCAGGTTTGGCAAGGACAGGTGAGAAAGCCAGGCAGAGAGAAGGTACGTGCCTTAGATGAGCCTTTCCTAGGTATTCCTAAAGAAGGGAAGCAGAGTCTTCGAGGGGGCACAATCCTGTCAGTCACCGGCGTTTGTGACAGGCACTGCGGGAGAGTGTTCCTGGCAGAGCTGGGGAGCCCTCGGGGTGTCTGTGCCACGGAACAGACAATGGGATTGGAGATGAATTCCCTGCTCCCCTCCATTTCCTTCCCATCTCTTCTCCACAATATAAGCTGTTGCCATTTTATGGATCTCAGCATCTTTTCCCCAATATTGTAGGGCCTATGCCTGCTGATGAGCCCTTGTTCTGTTTTGTCTTTTGATCTTATTACCCTTCTTGTCACTAAAGCTTCCTATTTCATCCTCACCCTTCCCCTTCCTCCATCATTCTCCTTGGAAGACAGGCAGCTCATCCCATTGCTATGCCTTGGTTAGCATCTGCCTCGGGTGAGTGGTGCCGTCCCACTGCCTAACCAAATCCTAATGGTTCTTTCTGGTCTATTCTGACTACCAGGCAACTTCTTGTGGCCTCCGGTGTTCTTATAGTGGGAGCCTCACAGGCTAACACAAGGTTTTCCTCCTGCAGTTTGGTCCACTCAACTAGACTAAGAGCCGGGGACTAAGATGAGAGGCTTCCTTCCTTCTCATTACCCTCAGCTGCCCATCACTTACTGTGCAATGGTGTGTAGTCAGCATCCTCTTACTTGAAAAATATTGATTTCTTTACTCTTTTAAAACTCACTTTTCTACTTTAAATTATCCTGGTTTATGTTGGGCTTAATTTTCAAATCATTATGAACTTTTATGGAGCACTTTTCGTGCATTGATTAGTCCTCTATCTCACAGTTTAATCAACACACAAGCCGAGGAAGTAGGGATTATTACTACCCATCTTTCACGGAGAAGAACCCCTGGCTAAAAGAGGCAAAGTAACTCCCTTAAGTTCACATGCTAGTGGGCGAAGGCCTTAACCGCCTGTTACAGTGCTTTGCATAAACCACCAAAAGTCCCTACTAGCAAGTGTACAAATTAAGATCTGTAATGTCTGGGTGTTCCAGATAATGGGTGAAATGACATTGGAAGATAGGGGTGTTCCTCTCCAAAGGTGGGTCCTTGTCACCACATCCTGAGCCTCGTCTGGGAATGATGTAATCCAGCCACGGTCTGCTCCTCCTTATGTATGGAGCAAACGTATTACCCTGTGAGTGACAATCAGCCTGGGGAGTTCCAAACTTCAGTCCTTCTACTTCTATACACTGATTACCTGACCTCAGAGGACCTCGGGAAAGAACTCTGATTTCTTTAAGAGCTCTCTCTTCCCTGGAAAGCCATGATCTTGTACCTAACGGCACTCTCTTGGAGACAATTCTTTTTGACAAATTCAACTATGGGTGAATTATGAGGTAAGCCAGGCAATTCTCATGGGAAGCCTGTGGTCATGAATGGTATAAACTGGTTCAACCCGTTTTTGGAAAAAAAATCTTTGCTGAGAACATGTTCTTCCTGTAGCTCTTTTTGGGGACTCGAGTGATCACATTACATTCCAAACAAATCTTCTGGCAGACGATGCTTTCCAGGCAGCCCAAGGGAACCTGCGCAGAGAAGGCTGAGCACGGTGCAGAGCCACCAGGGCCTCACATGTACGAGTCCGGTGCCCCATCCCACAGTGCACAATGGAGAAGTTACTCTGACATCCGCCCCTTGGGCTGCACTACCTCCTGCTCTCTTAATGCACTGTGCCCCTGGGGTTCTCCCAACCCCCACTCCTCTCAAATAAAACCTGCTCTGGATTGCTTCCCCTTCCTTAAAACAGATACTATACCTTCTCCAAAGAGACTGTGCCTTCAAACAGACAACTATCAAACACACAAAAAACATCAAAGGATACTCTCCAAGAGGAATTCATATTTGAATCCACTCAAATATTTTCTAAGCCCTTAAAGTGGGCCCAGGGAGTGGACATTAAAGTTCTAAAGAACCTAAAGCAAAAGTCACAGACTTGAACTCAGAGAACCAGAACTGTGCTAATATGGCCTCCAGGCCCACCTGTGGCTGTCAGCCTGTGACATGTGGCCAAAGCTGAGATGTGCAGTCAGTGTAAAATACACATCAAATTTCAAATACTTAGTATGGTTAGAAAATGTAGCCATTTTATCTCACAGATGATTTTTATATTGGGCACATGTTGCAGTAACCTTTTGGATATGTTGAATCAAACATTCTTTTACAATGTTTACAAATCAAACATTAACAAAAATGTTAGTACAATTAATTTTGCCTAACTCCATTTGATAAATATGGCTACTAGACTATGACCCAGCCATTCCCCTTCTGGGAATCTATCCAAAGAAACCCAAAACACTAATTTGAAAGAATATATGCACCCCATGCTCATTGCACCGTTATTTACAATAGCCAAGATTTGGAAGCAGACCAAGTGCCCATTAATAGATGAGTGGATAAGATAGCTGTGGTACATGTACAAAATGGAATACTATTCGGTTCTAAAAAAAAGAATGAAATCTTACCTTTTGCAACAGCATGGATGGATCTAGAGCAGGGCTGGGCAAACTTTTTGACTCGAGGGCCACAATGGGTTCTTAAACTGGACCGGAGGGCCGGAACAAAAGCATGGATGGAGTGTTTGTGTGAACGAATATAAATTCAAAGTAAATATCATTACATAAAAGGGTACGGTCTTTTTTTTTTTTTTAGTTTTATTCATTTCAAACGGGCCGAATCCGGCCCGTGGGTCGTAGTTTGCCCACGGCTGATCTAGAGGGTATTATGACAAGTGAAATAAGTCAGACAGTGAAAGACAAATACTATATAATTTCACTTATATGTGGAGTCTCAAGAACAAAATAAACAAACAAAATAGAACCAGTCATAGACAGACGGTTGACAGAAGAAAGGGAGACTATGGGGCTGGGTGAAAATGGTGAAGGGTTTCAAAAGTACAAATTGGTAATTACAGAATAGTCACAGAGCTGTGAAGTACAGCATAGGAAATATGTTCAATAATATTGTAATAACTATGTATGAAGCCAGGAGGATATTTGAAATATTGGAGGGACTACTCTATAAAGTACATGATTGTCTATGAAACTAATATGGAATAATATTGAATGTAAACTGGTAAACTGTAATTGAAAAAAAAACATGGTTACTAGAAAATTAACAGTTGTATATGTGACTGGCATTATATTTCCATTGCATAGTGCTGACGGAAACTGTCATGAGTAGAGAAGCCAGTATATTAACTGCTATAAAGACACTGGAAATGTGCCATGGGAGGAGAGAGAAGGGAGAGATAAATTTCTGTTGGATGACCCAGGAAGACTTCCTGGAAAAATGACAACAAACTAGGTCTTGAAATAAAAGTAGAGGGATAAGGCCTGGAGGCATCCACACCCAGATCTTAGATGGGAATTTGTGACGTCAGCCAGTTGGAGGACTGAACAGATAATGTGGTGCTACAGTCCTCCGAGAGTTTCCAAATCTGATTCCCCATCAGAATTTCCTGGTAGTTCTAAAAGAGTATAGGTTCCTGGGCTCACCCCAAGCCTTATGAGATAAGATCTATGGGTATGAGGTTCAGACATCCATGATTCACACAGCTCCATGAATGGTGGTCCCGCTGCTCATGGGTCCCAGCCCAGGAAACTGTTTGACAATGTCAGCTGCAAATGGTCATGCTTGTGCCTCTGAAAGGCAGCCTCGGGGGAGCTCTCCATAATCCATGGCCAGAGGCAGCTTTGGCATCTTCTGTTCTTTATATGTCCTTTGGGGAGAAGCACTTGAAATACAACTCGGGGAAATAGCTCAGGTCCTGGGCTGCTCTGTGGGTCTCCCCTCTGGGGGAGCAGAACAGGAGGGCTCTGTGGGCTCAGACTCATCTCAGGGACCACCAAAGGTACTTATTCAGTGGCTCTGGCCTGTGTGACAACTAGCTAATCTTTGATCATTCTGAAGAGTGATCAAAAGCTCTTTGTACTTTCAAAAGCTCTTGATAACCACAGCAGATTAGAAGAAGGAAGATAGAATAAGAGTGAGAGAGAATGGAGTGAGGAGAGAAAGAGAGATTATCCTGATCATGCTCTGATTAATGTATCTGTGCCCCCCAAATACCATTATTTTCCTTATTTTCTTTCTTCAGCCCCCACACCCCTCTCTGATCTACAGCAGTGTTGCTCTAAGTGGGATCCAAAGCCCACCTGACCACGCAGTGCCACTCAATGACATTCTTACCAGGGGCCTGGGTATCACAAATTTGCTTCCAGATTAATTCATTCAACTTGCAACATTTCCCAAATACTGTGTCTACTATCTACCAGAAACTCCACTGCAATCTGGAGATGTACAGGGAACCAGATGAGGTTTCTGGACCAGGATGCTCACTCTAGAACAGTGGTCTGCAGTGTGAGAGAGGTCAGGGATGGGATTCCCGAGTGTCCAATATAGCACATGACAAAAACACTTATGTGCTCAGGTATATTTTACTGGTAAGGAGATGTATAGATTTCATAAAGTTTTAAAGGTTTTTATCACTCAAAGAAGGGCTAAGAACTACTGGATGCATTGCTACCAATGATGAGTGCTTTCTAAAAAGAGAAAATGTTGAGAGAGAGAGAGAGAAAATGTTGCCCTAACCGGTGTGGCTCAGTGGATAGAGTGTCGGTCTGCAAACTGAAGGGTCCCGAGTTCAATTCCAGTCAAGGGCACACACCTAGGTTGCGGGCTCGATCCTCAGTGGGGGACATGCAGGAGGCAGCCGATCAATGATTCTCTCTCATCATTGATACTTCTATCTCTCTCCTTACTCTCTGAAATAAATAAAAATATATTTAAAAAGAGAAAATGTCATCACCTGCAAGCTAGCAAAATGAGGCCAAGTTGGGATCTTTAGTAACACTGTCATTAGCAGGTCAAGTATTTGCTCCAGAATAGATAATATCAAGATGCAGAAAAGTCTGTGTAGGTTCTGTGATCAAAGGCATCCCTCCAGGCACAGCTAAATGCCACTGATGACAATTTATCCTCCTGATAGTTATGTGTGGGTACATACCATTTCTGAGGAGAAAGATGTTAGTATGGACAGATGGTCAGGAAAAATGTTTTGCTAAAAACGGGCTGTGAGTTGCACCCCAAGAGCAACTGTGGTTGGGCCAGGGCTTGCTGGGTAAGATTGAAGTCACTGGACCAGGATCATCTCTTACCCTTGTTATTCTGAACACATGGGACCACAGCTACATGGTTGACAGGAGGGAATCATTAAGAAAAGAGCTTTCTTAGGAATTGCCCAGCCCACACCAGTATCTACCCTGTGTGCTCAGGAGGGAAGATGCCTACTTCCATAGCCATTTTTTCTGGAGAGGCACCTTCCCAGGAGTCTATCTGGAGAGCAGAAAAGATGCCTCCAGCTCCCAACCTGACCCCCAGCTCAACACAATCTAGAGGCTTTTACAGAAAACCTCTGC